GTTCGATTTTTAATTAAACCGATGGCATTTTGTGACCATAATAGTTTGAGCGCTGAAACTTGTATTGGTCTATGCAAATTGTTTGCACATATCATGGTTTGAATTATTTTTTCAATAGACCAACAGTTCACTTCATTTTGGCTATTGGACTGAAAACTTTATACATCGATATTTCGATAATGGCATCACCCACATTCATAATTCTTTCACTTATTTAATCCTTTACTAATTTATAACTCAATTCCCTTTTATAACTTTCTATTTGGGAATTTTGTTCATGATTATTGGTGTGTAAATGGACGAGTAACAACTTATTTAACAAACTAAGCTCATCTCAACCCATTTCTTGGTTTTTAAAACAATTTTCTGGTTAAACTTTGAAATGAAATGCAAAGAGAACTGCCAATAGCTCGAACGTTTGAGTAAAGAGTTGAGACTTAATGTGTTTTGTAGGGACATAAAAACTGAGTCGATTACTACTATTAAAGGATTCATCCGATGGACAGTTTTCGATAAAATCGAGTCCAAAGTTGAAACTTCGATTGCCTTTTGTGAAGCTATGGAAGAAGATTTATTCGTAAAACTCATTTTAATGATGTAACTTTTGATTGATGACCAGAAAATGCACTTATCTCGACAAATAAAACTTTCGGTTTTCTGTAAAACAGATAAGTTCGATTTTTGTTTGAATCGATATCATTCTTTGAATATATTAGTTAGCGAGCTGAAACTTATTATGAGTGTGTAAATATTGTTTGTTCATATCATGGTTCATATGCTTTTTACAACAGATCAAAAGTTCTCTCGATTCTGGCAATTTGGCTTAAAACTTTGGATAGCGATATTGCAACAAGAATAAAACCCAGAACCATATTTCTTGGCTAAATCATTAAATGTTGTCATAGGCTACAACATGATATGACTGAAAAAACCAGAAATCCTTGCCAATTCCCTCAAAGATGAACGTTATTATAACATATCGTAAATAAACATTTACCTTTGTTAACCAAATATCAAAACTAACACCCTGAGTAATGCAATGTTATAAATTTTTGCGTAGCTTCTTGAATAATCTAAAATTTGAAGGTATTATGATTCCTAATAAAATCTAGTGATTTGTCAAAGAATGATGCTTTAATGTACTACCATTATCGAAATATCGATGCATAAAGTTTTCAGTCCAATAGCCAAAATAAAGAGAACTGTTGGTCTATTGAAAAAATAATTCAAACCATGATATGTGCAAACAATTTTCATAGAACAATAACAAGTTTCAGCGCTCTAACTATTATGTTCACAAAATGCCATCGGTTTAATTGAAAATCGAACTTATCTGTTTTACAGAAAACCGAAAGTTTTATTTGTCGAGATAAGTGCATTTTCTGGTCATCAATCAAAAGTTACATCATTAAAATGAGTTTACGATAAATCTTCTTCCATAGCTTCCCAATGGCATCGAGGTTTCACTTTTGACTCGGATGTTATCGGAAACTGTCCATCGATGATCATTATAGTATATCGACGCAGGTTTATGGCTACAACCACAAGTTCCAAATCTTACTCAGCTTCGAGCCATTGACAGTTCTCTTTGCATTTCATTTCAAAGTTTAACCAGAAAATTGTTTTAAAAACCAAGAAATGGGTTGAGATGAGTTTAGTTTGTTAAATAAGTTGTTACTCGTCCATTTAAACACCAATAATCATGAACAAAATTAACTAATGGAAAGTTATAAAAGTGAATTGAGTTATAAATTAGTAAAGGATTTAATTAGTGAAATAATGATGAATGTGGGTGATGCCATTATCGAAATATCGAGACTCGAAGTTTTTAGCTTAATTGCCAAAACTAACAGAACTGTACATCTATTGAAAAAATTATTCATTCCATAATGTGTATAGACAGTTTTTATGGGCTAATAACAAGTTTCAGCTCTCTAACTATTATGGTCACAGAATGCCTTCGATTTAATTAACAATCGAACTTATCTGCTTTAAAGAAAAAGAAAAGTTTTGTTTGTCAAAATAAGTGGATAGTCTGATTAACCATCAAAAGTTACAACAGGATAATTAGTTTCATGAAAATGTCTGGCCGCAAAACTCTACAAAAAGCGATCGAAGTTTTATCTTCGAACCCGATTTTCTCGTAGACTACTGATCAGAGAAATGTTTAAATTGCACGAATCTACTCATTTTGCATGTCCCTAACAATCAACGGATCTAAATGTGAATTAAATTAATCTTTCACTGAAGAGTAACTCACAATTTCTGGAGAATAGTTTCTTTCTCTAACAAAAACCAAATTCATTCATTAACCTAACCATATGTAATGCATAATAAGTACCATGCAGGTGTTAAAATCATGAGTTTAAATATCTTATCTTCTTACCAGATATAATATGAAATTTATCAGTCCTAATGAGCCGTTTGAGCCCAAATTATTACCGAATCAAGCAATTTATTTCGGTAACTGTAAAAATTACTTCCAAATATTTTTAAAAGCTAACAATTTTACCAGAAAAAAACAAAAAGTAAAATTACAATCAAAATAGACTTGTGTTTTCATTGAAGACATTTCGTTTTAATAATTGTTCATTATTGAGGGAATTTTATTTTTTCGTTATCGAAAAGAATATGGGATAATAATAATATTTCATAAATTAGTGAAACAATGATGATCAATTTTGGAATCAGTAATTGCGATTGTAATTTTGTTTTTAGATAGTTTCATTTCAATGGTATGATATGGCTGGATACCATTTGTTTATAACCACCCTCTGTGGAGTGTTGACCTTTATTGACAAAAATTTCAAATGATTAAAGGTTGAGATACTCGTTCAGGGTTGAAATGCTCGTGTTTTGAAATTTTAGGCTCAGGTTGAAATAAGTTTAGGCTCTTCAGGTGCTACCATCCCTCGAGGTAGGAACTTTCTCAAATCTGAAGCCAGGAAAAATCGAATCGATTTGTTTCACAGCAAAATAATCATTCTCAAAATTAAAGGTATTTTAGGTCATTTAAAATAGATTAAAAAAACTCGTGTAAATAAGGCAATAGTCAATTGTTTGATGTTGCGTGATATATTTTAATTTTATTAATTGGTTTAATAATGGTTTACAATTTTAAAGTATTCTCTGGTGCAACAAAAATGCTGAAAATACAATGAATATATTTGCAATTTGTATTGAACCTGAACTTTTTAGCGGAATGCCCTTCTCTGTATAAACATTTATATCATCCACTGATATTTGCAAATCATAAACGCGATTCGAGGTATCATATTTTCCAAATGATCCTTGAATTGACAATGGAATCGACCAAGTGCAAACCTTTCCGTTTGATACATCAGAATATAAAAGTTGTTTATTGATTGAAGCAGATTGGCCATCCATTTTCAAAATAGCATCAACATAATCGCTTGAGAAATAACAATCAAAAGTAAGTTGACTCGAATCTGATCCAGTTAAATCAACAGAAGTAATGTAACCTGATGATGAAGTATCATCCTCCAATACAAAAATATAAAAATCATTGAATTGTCTGTTTGTCTGACAAATAGCTGAACTTGTCATTCCCATGGACCTTGTAGCAACAATTCAAAAATTTCATTTGATAAATGGGTAAATCTTTAATGTTTGCAGCGGCCATTAAGGTTTGATCATTATTGGCTAACAATACATCATAATTATAATTAAATTCCAGATCTAATTCATTGCCATTTGAATTCGTTGGCCAAATATAATCTGATCTAGACATTGTCCAAGAACAGTATAAAGTATTATCTCGGTATATTGATGAACCATTGGTGATTTGCTTATGTGGACTCTGGTAATATGCGGCAGTAGATCCTAATACAGTCCGTTCACAATAATATTTATTAACAGCAGGATCACTTGTAATTGAAACAGAGACTTGTTGATATTCAGACTCTTTGATATTATATCCAACAAGATCTATGGTCAAATAGTTGACTCCATTGACTTGTTTTGCTGTGAAAGTGACACTGGAAACATCTTTATCCACATCCTTGTAAGAATAGGTTTTAGTTAAGCAAGAATAATCACAATTATCTTTAGTTTCACAGCTAATTGCAATGAAAACTACAATTAGAACTAGTTTTTGGACAAACGAAGAAATCATTGTGATTTAAGGTTCCAAATTGAACACAAAACTAAATACATATGAAGTGTGATTTGTAGTTTATTAACAAATGCTTGAAATTAGAGTTACTCTGTTAAATGAAATAGATAGACGAAGAAGATTATTCAAACGGCGATATAATCCATGAAAGAGGGTGTTATTTCTCATGTGCTCCATGCGTTTCATCCAAATAATAACATAATGGAGGCGATTCTGTTCTCATATTAAAATGAACTTTGTGCACAAAATTGGTGAGACAAGCTATCTGATAATTTCCTCAGATGTATCAGTATGAAGTAAAATTTTGTTACATTCGCCAACAGAATTGAAAACAAATTATACTGATTTTGTATCATTTATCATCACCCTGACCTGCCGATCAACTCCCTCAGTCTCAACTCTTAACTCGAAAGGAAAATTTTGTACATTTACTCATTTCAAGCACAATACTATTTACAATTGTTAGTCAATAAAAACTATGATTGTGCATATGAAGAATCTGTCAGACTATGAAATGGAACGACTAGAAACAATCAAGACTCAATTCATAAGAGTTGACAATTCTTTTTTCCGTACGCTTTGATTATTTTGTGAAAAAATAATGGGTTTTAATTATTGTACATTAAATGCAGTTAAAGTGCAATTGAATATTCTGTTGAAACGAATAATTGAATTTTAACATGATAATCATAATAAAATAATGAAAATATTGTTGGTTTGTTCAGCTCATTCGTCTATCGTAATCTACATTATATTGAATAGAAAAATTTAATGCAAATTAAAATAGAAAATTTCTCATCAAGTGTAAACTTAATTATCATAATTTATGAGCTGAAATGATTTATGGGTGAAATTAATCTAATAAAGTTTGAAGGAAAAAGGAAGATAAAGTTTAATAAGAGAAATATAAGACGGATAAACACTAGATAGAATTATGTGAATGAAAAAGAGAAAGTGAAGTAAGAAAACAGATAAAGAAAGAGAGGAAAAATAATATTAAGTAAGGTCGAAGATAATAGAAGTTGCATTTGTTTTGTTTCTTTAGTAGCTTGCAGTAGAGACAGATGAGATGGGAAGGGGTAAAAGAAATAAGAAGCTTTCATAATTAATTATCCAAGTCTTTCTCGAAAATTAGTGGTTAGCAATAAGTATTTTCATTAACAAGGTACGGATGTTTCATTAAAACAGTTGATTTCCGATGATCCTCATCTTTACAATAGCTTAAAGTACAGCTAGCATCACTATTCTTTTACCAACCACCGTCTCAGGAGTCACCGACGCTGATAAAAATACGGATAATGGAAGGATGATGCGAAGTAAAGATTAATAAATGAATAATAGGAGTTAGCTGTATTTGATCATATTGAAGATTTGGAGAAAGATACTCGCAGATGACTGGCCTCAGACAGCTGATAGTTGTGCATCTTTATCAATGCATGAACTGCATCTTCAACCGATGCTAATTGAGTCAAGGCCATTTTACGATCCTTAGGGAAAAATTTAAAGTTAACCACTTGGACGCCTGCAACTTGTTCAAATGCTTCTCGAATATCTTCTTCGTTGGCGGATGAAGGAATGTTGGAAAGATGAAGCGTTGAACTTGGTGGGTAAATGTTTTGATAGTTTCGGGAGCCAGGTTTCTTGAATCGGTGAAGTGTTGAATTGGTGTAATCCTTGGTGAAACCTGAATCAGGTTGACCCTCCTTGGGTGTTTGAACGCAAGAATATTTCGATGCAGAAATCTTCATTGGTTTACCAAATAGCTTGACTTTGTCAAGGTAAGTCATAGCTAAAAATAAAAAACATCAGTTTGTTAGTTGAGCAGAAAAATCAATTTCAAAATTTCATGAACATTGACTTACCTAGTTGAGCTTGTTGAGGCTCACTCATTTGAATCAGGGCATTATCCTTCTTGTGGAAAAGTATTTTCACTCGCATCACGTCACCATACACACCTAAGAATAAATAAAGATAGTATAATAAAAACAAAGGCGAAGAAAAAATGACAGAGTGAAAAGTATAGATTAGTTAAGAATGTTATATTAAAAATATTTAAGGTGAGGAGCCTTGATAGATTATCATATCATGAATCGCGAAAGAATAAGATAGTCATTCTCAAGATAGCTTTAAAATCAAAGTCTAACTGAGAAAGACAGAGCGCGATGGAAAGATAGATAAAAAATGAGCAGCAAAAAGGGAGTAAAATTAAGGATTGAATGGAGTAAGGATTGGAGTGGAAGTTTAATTTGTTGAATGTTTTTTTATGGTTAATTAAAAGAGGGGACACAATGATAGTTGTGAATGAAATAGAAAGAAACATACCAAAGAGAGTGAAAAGAGCGTCTGGAGTGACCATCTAGTCATTTAAATTATTTAAAGTTGATCGTGTGATGGGATTTGTTTAATGATAGGATATAACAACATGGTGGAGGGTCAAGACATGATTTTTGGTAATTTTTTTATAAATTTGTCGCAAGGATCAGGAAAGAACATGGAAAGAAAGAAATAGAATGAGAGAAAGAGAAAGAGTGAATAGTAAAGAGAAAGTAAAGAAAGAAAAAGAAGAGAAGATTGAAAAGTAAAAGAGAATGAATATGAAACATAAATATTTTGATTGCGCCAACAGATAGCACGAGAGAAGAGAATGAGAGTAGAGAAAGAGAAAAGATAGAGGATAGTGAAAGATGAGAGAGAAAGTTGAAAGAGACAGAGATCAAGATGGAAAGAAAACATAATGAGATTGAAGAGGAAAAAATAAAGAAAAAGCAGAAAATAAAACGAATATTTGGTCTTAGATGTAAGCAAAGGAGGAGGCGGGGATCCTAAATGTAATGTTAACTAAACGAACTAAATAAATCTCTGTCCCGGTCTAACTATACTCAACGAAACTAGCAACTATTGAACTTGACTGAAACTCTCGTACTTTGTCTGCACGTTCAGGTGACTTGTGAATAGAATAAATCCAGCTAACAAGAAGATAATCTCTTCCGAGTGTGTTTAATCTCTCTCAAGAAATGAGCGATTATCAAGAGATGACAGCTTACCTGCTCATTTAAATTTGAAGCTAATAGTACACTACCCATCCCATGAATTCCTGGTGATGATAAAGTTGAGAAGGCATGCGATGGATTAACAGCCAAGGAACCAGGGAGTGATCCACCTATGAAAACAACAAAAAAAGATTGACAAGTTAATATACAGATGACAAGAATCATATAAATAAAAAAGGAGAAAAGTTTTAGGAACGAAACGTACCGGGAGGTAATAAAGGATTTGTAAAGTCTCGGCTTTTATCGTTGTTATATTTAACATTGATATTTGATAATTTGGAGAACTCGATACGTAAGACATTTCCAGATGAAAACATTTGTTGACCATCCAATGCTTGTTTAGCTGTTGATGCGTTGAAACTTGATTCATATTGTATCAATGCTTGGAATGTGGCATTCTTGGTGAAGGTTACGATTTTGGTCACTTTTCCGAAGCGAGAAAATATTTGATAGAAAGTGTCAAGACTAACGGGGTAGACAATATTATCAACGATGACTCTTAAAACTGTACTTGCTCCCAGAGAGTCGCCGTTACTACTATTATGTTTACTATTTGGAGGAGATGTACTTTGATAGCTGCCATCTGAACCAGCATTAGGTCCAAGAAGAGATTTTTTAAGTTCTTTGTGGTTAGAAAATTGGACGTAGACTTGTCTACCACGAATACAAGGTTGGATGGGTAAGTTGTTTGGGTCAGCCCAGTAATTAACCATTTGTTGAGCAGAGAATGAGTCAACAAACTCTAAGAAGGCTTGACCTTTTCCTCTTAAAAGGAGAACGTTAGTAATTTTACCAAAGGGAGTACCGATGCTGAGAACATCATTTTCGGTTGCTTCCATGGGAACATTTCGTATGTGAACTACACGAGATGGTGAAGGAGAGTGACAGTTTGATGAAGAGTCGTTTAACATTTTAGCGCCGTTAGATTCAGATGATCCTATTGTACTAACACCAGACGATTCCAATTTAACCTTTTTTGCTTCATTTTCTTTTTCACTCATAATAACGTCATTGTCCTGGTGGAGAAGATCTTCAGAACCTCGTTTATTTGACATCGATGTCCAAAACTTGAACCATACACGCAGTTACAGGTTTGATCGACGTAATTCTAATATAAACTAATGAAAGTGTACATCTATATGATCGATTTGATTATGAAGAATGTCAACTGGAGAAAAAAATATTTATATGATTTGGTGATACTCCTCTGATGAAACTGATTATGTAACGTTAACTACAGACTGCCCGATGAACCTGAGAAGAGAAAAACAATTTCTTGAAATGAAAAATCATCAAATAATTGAAAATACGGGGGAAAAGGAAAACTAAATCGTTGAACAAGAAGGGAAGTAAAATGATACCTTTGAATAGAAAATATAGAGATGAAAACAATTAATCAACATGAAAGATTAAACATCACAGCTTATAAAAGAGGTTAATGGAGCAACAAGAGAAACAGATAAGAGGTACAGGTTGTTGGGAAAATATACACAAAAAATGGGATCACAATTATAAAATTCCAAGATTTAGGCAGAACTGATCAAAGGAAGAAACCAATCTTACACTATAGATAAATGCAGATTCTCATGAGAAATAAGAAGAAACCTTATCCTTGACTTAAGCTCAAAATAGATGAAAGATACAAGGAGAGCAACACTAGTGTATAATGCTAATGATAATAGAAACGATAGATGATTGATTTATTGCAAATGTCAATAAAAATATAAAACGAAATAGATAATAAAAAAAATAATATTAAATGGGTTAAAAAATGGGATGAAAGCTACATGAATTGAAGCGCCAGAATAAAAGGGAAAACAAATGAATGGGAAAACAGAAATATAATTAACCGGCCATTTTAACTTATTCGCATTACTTTACAGTGACAAGTAAAGTATGCATGAAATTCAACACAAAAGGTAAGTGTTAAATTGACAGTTAATTTGAAAATAAATGTTAGTGTTAATGAGGTTCATTATTCTTACTTTGGTTTAACGTGGATCCCAGATTAAATTAGAAAAATGATGATTAATTGATAAAAATATAATGGAGATGATGATGGATTGTGATGATGAAGATGAAATCCAAGAAAACCTTGTTCAAAAATTAAGTAACCAAATGTTACGGAGGAAACGGAAACTTTTCAGCTTGTAATTAATAGATGATCCCTCAGCCAAATTCCTATTTGAATCAAAGAGTAATGTAGGAGCTCCTTACTCTTTGATTTGAATTGACATTTTAAAATTGCCTTTTCATCAGCTGTGTATTAATAACGATTATTATTGTCATTTAAACTGTTATTGTTTGATTAAATTTTTCGAATGTGTCTTGTAGGTGATTCAAGTCAACTCCTGGATTACAAGCCGTAACAATTGCACTACTTTTGCCGCTTAAAAAACTGAGGGTAATGAGAGTGGTCGTCATTCACGTTTTATTCAAATGAAAAGTTAAATACAGAAGAAAATGGATTTACAATTGATTTTAATGAATAGATTTTGTAATTAAATTAATCCTATGCTGAGTAATGTCACAGAATCGTGTGTTATTGTTCGTTGGTGATTATTGTTCATCTTGTGGTGGTTATATCGGAGCAATATCTCTTGGTTGATATATTGCCCATTGGTAATGCACTTGGAAGGTGTTTCGTGATAATAAATAGACTTTATAATAATAAACCCAAATAGAAATTTAATAAATATCAAACCAATACAATTTAAGGGCAAAAATGATTACAGATGAAAATAAAATAAATTGGGGCTTATTCACAAAGAAAGAAAGTATGTATAAAAGCGTAGTCAACTAAAAAATTACAATAACAAGAAGAAATTGAGATTATCCATTCATTTAAGTTTACTTAGAGGGAAAATTTACAGGCAAATTTTGATTAATTGTCAGTTTTTAAGCAATTAAAGATCAAAAACAAAGATTCCAATCGGAATAGTGTCAACCATGGTTTGAGTAGATTAGCTTTAATCAATGTAAGTGAGCGAGTCAAGAACACTTTCATGTTGAATTGTTCAAGAATTGGATGACATTTGAAATTGTGGAATTCAATATCTTTCCTATTCGATTTTAATCTGCTATGACATTCAAGCTTTTTTTATATTATAAACAATTTATTAATAATAACCCTTTAAATGCTCAATCAATAATAAGTATGAACTTTTTGTGTTGTATTTCTTTTGGTTTCAAAATAGTGAGGTAATATAAGATATAAGCAAAAATGGAGTCCGAGTCCAACAATTATTTATCAAGACGAGCTGTGTCTGGGAATGATGGTTATAATGAAGAGAAAGGGTTGATAATGCTGCAGATGGTGATAATTGAAATGATATTTTGTTTAGATAATTTAGAGGGAAATGTAAAGAAAAGCTAAACAAAAAGAAATAGGAAAAGGAAAAGGAAAGGAGAAAGTGAATAAAAAATAAGAGGAAAACAAGTGGAGTAAAGAGAAAAATGATTAAGAAAGAGATGAAGATGAAAATTTAGGCAGGATCAAGCTGGTATCATTCGTATTCATCGAAGTGATCATTAAATATCTTTCAGTTTTTTCGAATAGAATATAGGATAACTATGCATAAAAACAATCATGAAATTACTTTCAAAACATTAGCTTATGCTTTCGTAAAGCTATATAAAAGCACAAATAACCTGAACCAAAATATTTATCGGGGACGAAACTAGAATCTGGTAGCAAATATTAATGCTAAAATTGTTTCTGGTCTGCAAAATTAATCTCATACACATAACGATTAGATAATGATTAACCAACATTTCATTAAATCTGAGCTGAACATGCTTAACAGACTCAATATAAGATATAATTGATAACAGGAGAAATTTCAAAAGTTAATTTTCATGATTGCCGTAATAAAATGTAACCACAATCTTTCAGCTTATCTATGAGTCTGAATTAGATTCTAACATGGACAACAAGAAACTGTCAATAGATGTGTTTCCAACCAATTTGAAGAAAAATAAATGTTCCAAACACTTTAAACCAATTGACCGTAAGGCAGGTAGACGAAGAAGTAATTTAGCAAAACGGCCAGATTGATCAGGATAAGTTTGTCTACAATACTCTTCCAGGATTGCGTAAACCTTTTCACGTAAATTTTCAACTTGTTGTGTTGATTTGAGTCCTTTAGCTTCGGGATTAAATAATACAATAGATCGTAAGCAACCAAGTTCAGTTTTGTCCATTTTCATTTCTCTCATTTTAGCCACTAATTCAGTTAACACGCGATCAAAAATAGCACCTACACCCGCTTGATGAGCACAGTTTCTATGAACAACCAAACCAGTGGCTAACATGATACCATCTTTAACTGACATTGAACGATGAGAAAAGCCTGCAATGAGAAGCTCATTCCATCCTGATTTAAGTAAAATAACTTGATCTTCAACGGGTAACTCGGTGAAATGAGGAATATGCTTAGCCCATTCAATTAATTGGTAAAGTTGTCGATCTGCCGCTTGACAGATATCACTAACGGGATCCTGAGACAAAAAGAAAAATGATTTAATTTAATTTTATAACAGCTTTAAATTTATAATGATTAATGAATTAAAGTAAACTAAAACTTACTCGAGAATCTATGTCTTCATTCTTAGGTTCTACTCGTAATTCAGCTTCCAGTATTCTTTCGATAGGCATATCATTCTGTGAGTTACTTGTACTTTCAACCTCGTTTTCACTTTTTTCTTTATTCCTTTGTCTTTCTTCTTGCACGGCTGTAAAAGATAAATACGAAAAAAATTAGATGAGAAATATAAGGAAGATAAAAAACTGAAAACTTTTTAAAGAGATATTTAATATAAAAATGTAAAAATAATTACCTTCTCTTTTCATTCCCATAGCGAGACATTTCTGATATCTACAGTATTGACACCTATTCCTTTGTCGTCTGTCTATGATACAATCTCGTTCTTCCCGACAAGCATAAGACAAATCTTTACGAACAGTCCTTTTAAAAAATCCTTTACATCCTTCACAACTGTTGGGAAAACATTTTAAATGAAATGAAAACTAAAATTAGAACGAAGAAGCATGATAATCAGTGGGAAAATGAGCATATCTTCAACTTTATTTGCCAACACTGAGGTTGTCTACCCAAAACTTGCAAAGTAACACTATATTGATGGAAGAGGGTTCAACTCATTATTGATGAGGGAAATTTACGATGTGAAAACTAGACTAAGAATATTTACCTGTAAACACCATAATGTTTCCCAGAGGCTCGATCACCACAAATAGAACAGAGATGTTTTGATCCGCTTAAAGGATGATTTGGATTAGAGAAAACGGAACTTGCTCCTACAGAATCACCGTTGCTTATATGTCTACTATTTTGAGGAGATGTACTTTGATAGCTGCTGTCTGAACCAGCATTTGTTCCAAGAAGAGATTTTTTAAGTTCTTTGTGCTTTGAAAACTGGACACATACTTGTCTTCCCCGAATACAAAGTTGCATCGGTGAGTTGTTAGGATCAGACCAACAGTTAACCATTTGTTGAGCAGAGAATGAGTCAACAAACTCTAAGAAGGCTTGACCTTTTCCTCTCACCAAAAGAACATTGGTGATCTCACCAAATGGAGTACCAATACTGAGAACATCATTTTCAGTAGCTTCTATGGGAACATTCCGTATGTGAACCACACGAGATGGTGAAGGTGATGGACAATTAGATGTAGAATCGTTCAACATGATAGCTCCGTTAGATTCGGATGATTCTATTATACCAATACCAGAGGAATCAAGTTTAATCTTTTTTGCTTCATTTTCTTTTTCACTCATAATAACGTCATTGTCTTGGTGGTAAAAATCTTTAAATATTGTGAGAAGAAAAAAAGTAAAGAGTAGAAAGAAAGAAAGAGAGTTAGAAAAGAAAGAGAAATAGAAAGATGAATGAAGAAGTGAATGACACTTCATTCAGTGTTGTGAGAATGAATGAACTGGAAGCAAAGATTATAGAGACGTCGATAAGGGTGTCAACGAAATCCAGGAGACTATGTACAACTAAATATACACTGTTTATATTCAATAGAAATAGATAATCAATCCTAAATATGAGTGAAAACAATTTGAATCAGATTAAACTTGACTGAACATTACTCTACCTTTAAGAGAACACTTCTTCAGGTTTTCTCCAATATTTTTACATTTTAACTTGTTCTTCAGCAAGTGATAACAAAAAAAGGAGACAGAGAGCAAAAGCAGTAGAAAGAGAAAAAGAGAGAGAAGAGAGAGGTGAATAGAAAGATAGCAGATCAATTGGAATCAACCTGAGCATAGAAAAATTCATCAATCGAATAGATTTATCAACCTTACCTTAATTCAACATTGATCCTGGTTTATAATTACCAAAAATATACCGAAAATGGTAAGAAAAGATGAAGATGATAACAAAAGATGATTTCTGAAACAAAAAACAACAAAACTAATAAATTAGTCTATTTCACTGCGGGTCTTAAATGTCAATAACCATTTCTTCTTGGGTTTTTGCTTTCTTTCATTTCGGGTGCAAAGAACGGAAAAACAGCAATAGATGGCGTTCTAAGGAATTTTATGAACAAAATTTGACGTCGCCTAAATTTAAACCTCCTAATTAAATCCTTAATTAACCCAGTTTTAAGCCCCAATTTATAAACCAATTACCTTTTAATCAACACCTAAGTCCTTCCGCTAACCACTGACAAAAAACCCAATCAAAATCGACCAACTTAGTGCCTGTTAAGACCAAAAAATGATTGACCAAACCAACCACGTGGAGAGCAACCTCAACCAAGGTGTAATGGATATCAATCAACCGGTAACACTATTGAAAAATATCCATCAATCAATCACCCATCTCATTCCTAAAACCAAAAAGAAGGAATTTGAAAAGATTCTAAGTGATTTGACAAGTGTAATCAAAACCCTTGAAACCGACAAAATGCTCTTAATGGAAAACTCAATTGTTACCAGACTGACCAGTGCAATCAATACACCATCCTCTCAAAGACCAACCTATGCAGAGAAAACGACCAAACCTGCCAAACTAAAAGCATTTGTGATCAAACCATCAGTCCCAGGCGAAAGTATAGATGAAATCGGCAAAAAGATCAAAGCCACACTTAAGGAGAACAAGGACATCAACATTGAGTCGCTGGTAGTCAACCAAAACAACATCAGAATCACGTCCAATGACTCACAAATCAAAACAAAATTACAGAAGCAATAGACACCGCCAGCCTGAGTGACAAAGTCGACCTGTCCGAGCTCAACAAACTCATGCCTCAAATCTCGATAATAGTACCAAGTGACCAGATGGAAGACGCCAACACCATCAAACAAAGAAACAACATTCCCCAAGAAGAGGAACTCAGCATCGTAATCAACAATGAAATCAAGAGTAAATCCAGATACAGGAAAAACTATGTTGTCATTCGTATGAGTGGTAAAGCAAGACAACTGATGGAGAAAAGAAATCGTATTTACATAGGCTGCGAAAGCATGGAATTCAAAGATAATTTTAACGTCAGGACTTGCTTCAATTGCAACAGAATCGGACACACTTCCAAGTACTGTGATCTCGATCCATCTTGCCGGAAATGTGAAGAAAAACACACAACAAAAGAATGTACAAAGGAAGACACCGAAGACAATCATAAATGCTCATTTTGCAAAAACGCAGGGTTCAAAAATATCAACCACAGCTTCAGATCCCACCAATGCTCATCATACTTACAAGCCGTTAACAGGCTAAAGAATATAATTGACTTTGATTATGACAATTAAACTTTATTGTCATAACTGTCAAACACAAGCACACCGTACAATTGAAACCCTGAACCAAGCAACACCAAACACCATAATATTCATCCAAGAATACAATGCGAAAGCCCTTCTTGTCTCAACACCTAAATGCTACACAACCGTCACAAATGGCAAATCTTCAATTACTGCCCTCAAAACCAAAATCAAAAGACACCACAAATTAGGTCAAAACTCCATAGCAGCCTTCATCAATGACAATGGAAACAACATTCTCATCATCAACATCTACATTTCACCTACACTCCCAATCAACATCAAAAATGATGAACTCGGAGAAATTGATCGAATCATCGCTCGATACAAAGACCTCCCCATCATCCTCCAAGGTGATCTCAATGCCCAACACCCTCTCTGGTCTCCCGAGTCAAAGGTCAAAAACATAACACCCTTCGCCCTCAACATCGCTGAACTACTAGAGAAACACATCTCAATACACCTTACGACCGGGAAATCTTACCGGCAACGTTCACCAGCCGCATCGACAACCCAAGTTGGATAGATATCCTCGCCACAAACAATCGAATCAAAGCAGAAGTTCACATAACACCGAGAGTCAGAGATCACTCCACCATCACCGCTTCATGCAATCTTACCCACATCAAACCAACAACTAAGAAAGTCAACCTCAAAACAATCCTCGATAAAGGCAAATATATACCACTTGTCATTAATGAAATCAACAACCTGAACCTTGATGAAATCAACACCACCGAATCACTTGATGACGTCCTCATCAAAACAATCAAAAATATCTTAATTCACCAGCAAAACTCTCTAAAACAAGTCAATCCAACCGACCTCATCAAACCAACCAACAAAAACCTAGCCAATAAAGTCAAAAACATGAAAAAAGTGGCAAAAAGAAACCAAAATCAAAGTAACATTAATGAATACTTAAAACTCAAAAAACAACTCCATGATGCGATCAGGGAAAAAGTACAAGAAAACTTCGATCCAAGACACCCCAAACTTTGGTATAACATCAAAAACATACTAATAAAAGATGAGATAATATCAAGCGATGAATACAACAAAAACCTTGACCTTCTCATCTCCAAATTTGACAAAACCATACACGACATCAAAAGCAACAACAGAATTAACTCCGTAATCAACAAAAACATAATCTACGATCAAGACCAAATAACCGAATGGATCAACAAACAGAAAAACTGCGCCACTGGGCATTGACAAACTAAACAAAAACGACCCTCAAAATAATAATGCAACAAACTCCCGTCAAAATTACACAAATCCTCAACTACTGTATAAACTCGCACTTTTTTCCAACAGCCTTTAAAATTACAAGAACAATTATCATACCTAAATCGGACGGCGTCAGATGCAGACAGATCCAAGTCCAAACCATATTAGCCAAACTCATTGAAAATCACCTCATGGAACTGCTAAAATTAAAAATCAACAACGAAATGTTCACGCATCAATATGCCTTCCAAGAAAACAAGAGCACCAAAGACGTCTTAAACAGAGTCTTAAACTCTGTAAACTACGAATCCGACTCGAGTTATGTCCTATTGGCAGACATCGAAAAAGCCTTTGATAACATCTCCCATGAATCGATACTCATCAACTGCGCCAAAAAATCAGTACCAAAAAACACCCTAAAATTCCTCATGAGCTACTTGGAGAATAGATGGTCGATACTAAATGAACATCAATTCAAGACGCAGAAAATTGCACCGCTCTCAGGAGTACCACAAGGCTCCTCTCTCGGCCCTCTTCTATTCATAATTGGAATAAATCAAGCCATCATTGACATCTCCAAAAGCAGCATCAAATACACCTCGCCAAAAATCGCTCATCTTCCCCAACCTGAACTACTCTGTTACGCAGATGACCTCATAATGATAGTCAACTACTCAATGGGGAACACACGTAGAAAATTATACTTATCTCAAGTAATTTACGACTCCTTCACACTAATAATCAAAAACATCAACCTTCACCTAAAACCCATTAACCTATCAATACTCCCCCAAAAAACCAAAATACTAACCCACAAAAGAATAGACGAGATAGATCTTTCAATCCTCCCATGTATAACATACAAAACAAAAGTACTAGGACTGCCAATCAGTGTGAACCTAAAAGCTTCGTACTGTATTGATACGTCTGAAATACTCAAACAAACTGAAACAAAAATAAAAAATAACAAGATTGACAGCAAATTAGTCTCCCACCTTCCCCCCCACACAATTAAACTCATAACCAATTCCTTTTATGAATCCCAAATCACTCACCTAGCACCCTTCATCACAACAGTCCTCCTCAAAAACAAAACCTTCATTGACAAAATCGATAGACTCACCTCTGACCTACTCAGAAAACATATCAGAAAGAAAGGATTTGACTACAAATATGCATCATACGCAATAACTAACAACACCCCCATCCTAATAACCACAATCAAAAACACCATCAAATATCTTCACGCTCACCTAAAAGATGATAACTTCATATACAAATGGACCATTCAAAACAAGCCTGATTGGCTACCTCATATCAAAAACGACACTCAACAAAATGGCCTAACCCATCAAACCCAAGCAATTCTCTACCAAGAAACCAAAGAACTATGGACAAAATCAGTCAAACCAGAATACTTAACTCTCATCAAACCTTTGGAAAAATCAGCTTGGCCCAAAATGTCAATCCATACCAGAACCCTACTAGGCTCATACGATTTCCTTATCAAGGACAACACAATCTGTACATGCGGCCTCACCCTCTCATCCTTTCACCTCATCTTTCACTGCCCCAACCTAAACAACGAAAGAAATTATCTCACTGAAATAGCCTCAAGAATGAGAATCACCCTCCGACAACTACTCCTACGATATCCCAAAATAGTATCAAACTTTCTAATCTCAATATACGATACTATTAAAATCATCCATGAACACCAAAACCAACAATAAAGCAAACCAAAAATCAACCCCCCACTCCCAATCCAGCACCTAGCCCCTTGCACCAACGATACCAGAAGTCCAAATTGTATTTTAAACCGTGCCGCCTCAAGGCCGGTTGCTCGTTAGCACCACCCTGACCAATAAGCAAAATTTGAACATTATCATTTTTTAAACATTAAAGTGCACAAATCAACCTATTTAATATAATCACGATCGTCTGTTCATTTTGATTGTTCCGCACATCAATTCCATGATTGCAATTCAATTCACTTTTATTTTTCATCTCAAAGGATTCCGGGTGGTTACTTGATCCTCGGTTAAATTCAAAACGATATTTTATTGAATCCAAACTAAAGTTACTCAAGGAAACGGAAATTTCAGTTTTTTTAATGGATTGATTCAATCCGATTGAACAATAAGTTGTGGGTGATTTTGAACTGTTTTTGCAATTAATTAATTCAATCATCTGTACAAGACCTGTCTTCCGAAAGAAGCAAGAAAATAATCTAAATTTGATTTTTATTCTAGCTAACTCTAGATCGCCGATAATTAAAGCAAGCAAACAAACATAATTAACAAATAACTCATCTAAATGACTAACTGTATGGATATGTTGATTTGATTGAACGATTTGTCATTTTGTTTAGTCTTTATTCATTATGAATTTCAGAAAATTTAAAATAACATATGTTTATTGAATTGAAGGAAGTTATCCCAAAATTGACTTTAATTTTGGGTTTGTTATCATTCAAACTTTGTTTCGATATTTGGCAGTCATCACTTATGGCTTGATTTGTCTCACCAATTAGGTTATAATTATGATATACAGTCTATATCCAATTGTAATTGATGATGAACGAGAAAATAAATTTATACACTTCTTATATGAATTATTGAGGAATCGAGGGAAGAACGATGTTTGGAATAAGTGAATGATGTTTCCAGACGAGGGTTTCGCTTTGCATAATGTTCATTGAAATCTAGTCTAAAACTGAGGAATCGCAAATCAGCATCTTGATGAACTGCTAACAGCAACAAAAACTTCTGAACCATATTTTCGTAAGTTTTACCTAACAATTGAACTTTCAACTTAAAATCAGGGATTATATGAGAGTCAAAGTTTTTTCTTCTTTCCATTTCTTTGCGTGTCATTAATTCCAAATTTTCTTGAGTTAACCTCCTCTGAGCATCAAACTTTTTCCTTTCCTCAAGTTCAGTATCAATGGCTTTAAAAAGATTATCTTGGACACTTTGGAACTGAATAATCATGTCATAAATGGCTCTCAATTGTTCTGATAAGCTCTGAGATTCAGCATCCAGCATTGACCGGGAGATGACTGTAGAGAGGAAATGTTCTTGAGCTTCTATCAACTGATCAATATCAGATGCACTCTCCATTTTGCGGATTAACTCGTCCCATGAGCATTCCATTACTTCAAATTCAATATAATACTGCATTTGTTGGATGAAATGCATCATTTCCGCTTGCAAAATATGACTAATGTAAAAGACTGGAACCAATTTAGGCATAATTTTGGTGTCTCTGGCATGAATTATTTGTCTTTTCCAAATGGAAACCAAAACATATTCCATTCTTTTAGATCGCCAAAGATATTTAAATAGAGACCCATAGTTTTTCATAATCTGAGCATTAAGTATTGTCTTTATAGGTCCACTTGTTTGGTAATCTAGCGTGAAAATGTCCCAACCAGTTTCTTGCAAGGAATCGGAGAAACGAACATCAACCCTTTCAGTAACATCTTCATCGAGGAACTGAGCATTAGTTGCTCTAATGGCACTATTGAGTAAGCTTTTCAGATTGAGTAATTTCAAATTTTGAGCTGGCTTCTCCAATTCATTCACTAAAAGATCCATAAGATGCCGAATAAAATCACCTTGGCCAAGTAACATGAATTTTCGAAGTCCTTTCAAATGATCCATGAAATGATAACTGTCGAAAAGTAGCTTAAGAGCTTTTTCACTAGTATTATGATATGCTGAAGTAAGAAGCTTTTGGAATTCTCCTTCTTGTCCATTACGACGATTATCATTGAATAACAATTCAACTTCGGTAGATTCGAAAGTTTTTCTCAAGATATCATAACCAGCAACACAAGAGGTATCTTCAAAAACTTGTTTAAGTAGATTGACAGCTTTACCTGTTGCTAAAATCTTTTTTCCTTGCTCGAAATCGATGAAACCGGGGAACATTGATCTATTTAATTGATATTTTTCATGCCACATAGGATCCTGACTTTCTGGAGCTGGACGACTTGAAATTATGAAAAACTCTTTATACGGGTCATCTATTTCTCCGTGAAAAATCCATTGACTAAGCATTTGGCGAATAGGAAGGACAACTTGGCGTAATATACGGGTCATGCAACTTCTAACATTTGGATCACCGTGTTGATTATATTTGTGAACTTCTTTTATCAAGGCACCTCCACGTTTGTTGCGACAGTTTTCTATCAAATTGGTGAGAATTTTTAACAGATAAAACGAATCGTAAATGTAAACTTGAAGTCTTAAAAGCGTCAAGCCACACTTAGCATTCAAATCCATTGCATATGAATGCAACTCTTGTTCGATAACGGTGATTAGTCTATAGTATCTCTGAACTTCTTCTTGTAAAGCTGAAGCAAAACTTTGGCATACATAACCTAATGTATCGTTTTTGATGGTGTGCTCGCAATATTTGTTTACTTTGTTAAACAACCATCCAATGTTTGTCAAACGAAGAATCATCTGTCTTTCACAAACACCGATATTATATTGTGAATTTATTTTATATCTTCCATCGTTGGCCGGATCTTGGACTAATATCCGACCATTCAATCCTTGAAATGCGAAAAGTATTTCACGAAGCAGTTCAATTTCTGAGTAAGCCCTTTTATTTTCTCTGTCATCTATTTGTAAGGAAAAAGGCCTTTGGGCTCTGGTTGTATTTCCTTTAGTTCTGAGCCATCCTCGACCAGATATTTGATTATGACCGGGTAAATGATTAGTATCATCAAAAGCTGTTATTAAATCGGGTGGAATAGGGGCAACTGGAGAGTGTTTCCTGCTATGGTTTCCATTCACATAATCCATAGGCATTCCAGGAATTGTATTATAGAATCCATTACCATTACAATTATTTCCATGATTAAAAATATTCGGAATATCTTGACATAATAGATTCAATTTATCATCCTTATTTTTGTTCAAAGTGGACATTTCATAGAGGAAGACAGCCATAGCGATTGGGTTTTTACAAGTACCAACTCGCTTTAGCTTATAGTAAAGCTCTTCAAATCGAAGTGCATCACTTTCTTTCATATTGCGGACAACTAGAGAAGAAAAACACGAATTAGAATCATAGCCAAAATTTATAGAGGCTTTTTAGGTACATACGAAGTTTCTTTATCTTCTCAATAACGTAAAACTCGTCAGAGTCATCAAGATTCATTTGTTGATTATCATTAGATAAAAGTGTCATTGTTGTGGAGTATATCTTGGAAACCTTGTCTGTTATGTATCAAAATGACAGAAATAAAAAAAATGCATTAGTATATTTTATTTTTAGGGTATAGGAAAGGAATAAGTTAAAGATTAATTGGAAATCATTAAAATCTGAACTAAAATTCAGAAGTAATTACTCACCAGTATTGAAAGGTGTCAATTTTGAACATAACCGATAAACGAGGGATGGCAATTCCAACACATTTTCAACTTTACTCTCAGCCATCTCCTCGTATTTTGATTCTTTACTATATTGTAACTATAAAATGGTCAAGTATCAACAATAAATTAAGTTATGAATTAGACTAATATAGATGAACAAATTAACCACACAAAAACAACGCAAAACAAAAATACAAAAAAAAACATCAGTTGCAAGCTCCTTTCTCAAAGCTTCTGTTGTTTTGAGAAGGCGCCAAGTGAGGAGAGATGAGGACTCCTCATACACAGAGGAGAGGAGCACAAAAGGAGGGAACCTGTGATGCTACGCAATAATAATAATAAATCGTATTTTATTAACATTAGGTCAACCGATTTAATAAAACAATTAAAAAATATTGAATCAAATCTGAAAAAACTCAAAATTATCTGATTATCAAGACTAATCTTAAACTAAATCTGAAACGATTTTTTCAAATATTCAAACAGTTAACGGTTTTAAAACTGATTTCAATCTACAATGTAACAATGAAAATAATGGATATTAGGATTTTTTAATGATAAATTTAGCTTATTAATGATACATTTAGTTTCTCTTAAATATTTAAAATGTTAATACAATCAAATGAAAATAAGTCAATCAATTAATTATCGAAAATGACTAAAATAAAATTCCGGTTGACATTTTGAAAAAACCGCCAAGTAAGTTATACTGGAAATGTTTGTTTTGGTTTACAGCAGGACTTGTGTTAAAAAATGAGACAAAATTGAGGATTTGTTTGTAAATTTTTTAATAAACCAGATTATTTAAGATTTTTAATTGTTAAAGTTGAAGTGAAGAATACCTTGATCACTTAAAAAGCTATTTGGTACGTGCTATTTGATGGTAAGTACTCTGCTTTGTGTTAGATATTGTGAGATGCTCATATCTTTTCACTCTTTGATACCATCATTTCAAATTACGGTCAAATTGGTAGTCATCGGTCAGGAAATATACCCAGACAATTGCAGAATACAACTTAAAGTCGAGTTTATATTAAATTTATCAGTTTATTAACAATGTACTCTAATATCTCTTCTATTAATTTTAGATATATTGGTCTAGTGTTTACATGGTCAACTATTGGTGAATCAAAGCTTTGGTATTGGGTTGTATGGTAACCTTATTCATGATCAGTTTAATCTCTTCCATTGCAGTCTAGAGCAATGAATGTAATTAACCACTACACCTTGTAAACGGAAAGATGAAATCCATCTTAAAGTAATTGTGAGTATTATTATATGATTATCTGATTTGATAAAGTTAATCTTTTACTTCAGAATGTATGATTTTCGTCTTGTCATGTTGACTTTTTTCTATTGATCTGCTTTAAACCTCATAAACTAATTACTTTATTGAATAATGTTATCACCTTATTATTTATCAGCCTTATCATATTATTCTTGTGTTTATTAGATTGAGAAATGTAGATTTGGTGTAGTTTATTTCATGCGTAAATATAAACTGGAAAGGCTCCGTTTCTCTCTACACATTTGATAATAGCAACAAATATCTGGTAATCATTACCAATTTTTACCTCTTCTCCTTATTCTGTTAATAATTTTTACCTTGATGCCTACCGTTATTAAATCACGACAATAATCTCAAACAAAGAATTATTTAGATATATCAGAGTTTAATAGTAATTGTTCTTTCCTTTCTCTATCTTTTATATCTTTTACTGTTTCTCTCTTCATTAAACAATCACATATAAACTCTCAAAAGTTAATCATAACTATGGTGAGTGAACGCATATCAGTCGAACTTCATCGCTCTTCCCATTAAGTTACTTTTTATTCTTATTATTCATCATAATTTTTAACATAAAATTGTTTTTCTTTCGTTTAATATCATCCATCTTATCACTGTTAAAATGACCCCTTTCACACAATGTTTTACTTGTACTGCAGCAAATCCACCAGATGATCAAATGTCAAAATCACCACTTAATTTATACCATGAAAAGCAGCGTAAGAAACTCTGTGCTCTTCATACTCTTAACAATCTACTACAGAGTGATGCATTCAAACAGGCAGATCTTGATGAAATATGTTTAAGGTAAGCTCAAAAAAAACATTTTTACTGAAATACCTGGCACTTTTTTCACTACTATGTTTCTTATTTAATATATATAACTCTAGATTATCACCTGGTAGTCGATTTCTGAATCCACATCGAGCTCTTCTTGGCCTTGGCAATTATGACGTTAATGTTATCATGTCAGCTCTTCAGGACAAAGGACTTGAAGCTATATGGTTTGATCAAAGAAAGTGTGTATATTCAACTTTTCTAATTTAAATGTGAAAAATATCAATTTCACTTCAAAATCGTAATAAAACCGTTCTTCTTTTATTTAAACAGAGATCCAAACTGTCTTAACATGAATCACATCTTTGGTTTCATCCTAAACATTGACAATTTTCAAAAAAACCAGACCCTCTTGAGCATTTTGAATATTGGCAATTTATTTGCTTCTAAAAAACACTGGATCGCGTTTAGAAAAATAGGAGACCAATATTATAATTTAGATTCTAAATTGGATACACCCGAAGCGGTTGGACAAGTAATGCTCATTAATATTCTAGATTTACTCATACAGTCTTTTCACTCTTATTTTGACAAGAAAACAGCCGTCTATTGGTATCGGAGTTCTGTTCCTAGCATAAACAGTGCTAGGATAATTTAAATAGTATTTTTGTCGTACTATTGGCATTATAATAGACGGTGCTGTTTTTTTTAGGCAAAATAAGTGTGAAAAGACTGTATCTCACTTTATCGCAAAATCTCACATCTCTCTTTATATTTCTTTTACAGGAAACTGAGATGATTCAGCTTCTTCGTGATAAATTGAGCTCTGGTGACTGTCAAGTTCTTCTTGTGGTTGACAAAAAAGTAGCAGAAGACCTTTCCTGTTATCGTAATGCTGAATAATTTATTTAACATACTAACAAATATCAAAAGCATATGAATGGCATATTTAACAGGAAAATGATTTAAGTTATTTGGTAAAGATATTGCTGAATTGCCGTATTGATTTTGTAGACTTGGAAAGCTTGTAAAGCAATTATTTCGACAGGACAACACCAGAGACAACCCTAAATCTAATCATTCTCATGATGCCAATGAATGTTGAATTTTTAATTTTCTTCGCCACTAATTGATTTATAAGTTTTATAACCTTATCTTGGTTATTAATGGCTCTCAGTTTTTTTTGAATCATGATCACTAACACCTGAATATTAGGGATCTAATATTCATTTCTTTTTTATAATTATTATATTGTTATTTATCAAGTGCCTTTATACAATATTTGTAATGTATTCCTTCGAAGTCCTACATGTCCGATGTGATTACTTATTATCGATGTAACCGTTGCCAACTTGTCAAAACTTGCTTCTTGTCAATTTAAGGAAATCTTTATTTATATTCAAATGATAACCTTTCTGCTTAATTTGTGCTTAGTGATGGTAAATAAGGAATCGCCTGACTAACCTACCAGCTGATTAAACTTCAAGAGCTCAGAGTTAACTCAAAAGATCCTATTAAAATTTGTTTAATAAAGATAATTATTGAGTTTATTGTAACCAGTGAAGCTGAATCGAAATTTATTTCTCGTTAATTATGTAAATTTTAAGTTCATTGTTTCATCATTGAAACTTATACTGGTAAGAATTAAATTTTTAATGATAAATAAAGCAATGAACATGGATTGGACAGTTACAAAGATGATAGAGATTTGATTAATTAGAAAATAGCCGATAAAATCAATCAATATACGATAAACTTGACGCCCTAATTTTCCCATTATTTCCGAAGCTATAAATGTGTCAAACTTAGAGGTAAAACTTGTCAGTTATAGCAAAATGATTAAAATGTGTTTCTCGTTTTTGTTCATTTTTGTCTTAATCAATCTTCAAGTTGAAGCTCAAAATTCATGTAATGATGAGTGTTTATCTAAAACATTTTGTATATCAAGTGATTTTTCTGGTGTTTGCTCAAAAAATAATCTGGTTACAGCTCAGTTTAAAGTGATCCCAGCCTTATATTCATATGATTATCTTCAATTAACCCTGAAAGCTTATAATTTAACATCAGATGATGAAAAAACAATCAAGTTGAGCTTTGACAAATCAGGCTTTTCTTCAAATGTATACACTTGTTATAAATCGCCTCTCGGGTCGACTTATGCAAGGTTTGATCGAGGCACTTACAGTTTACCAACTGGATCATCGTATTACATGGAAGGTGTTTTATACTGCACTTGGACTTTCAACATTTATGATACTGTCTGGCCAAAGTATGTAGATATGTTCAAAGACAGTTCACAATCAATAACACTCTATGATAAATCACAGAACGTCACAGTTGCTCAAGACACAAGTCAACTTCCTATTTATCACGCTCAATACCTTAAGTGCTGCAATAAGGTTCATGGTAATGATGCATTTCTGATCACTTTTGACCAAATCGAAAAACAAATTCGCTATCGACTTTATTATTGGAAAGATAATGGCAATCAAGTGACTGTAACTCTAAACAGAAAAGACGACAGTAAATTACAATTTGATTGTAATCTTGATTCAAGTATAAAAGGTTATATTAGCAATGGCAGTCATCGATTCTCTATCGATAAACAACTTATAGAACCACACGTAATTTATCGCGAAAAATGCTCATGGACTACACCTTTTGTATTGGGCGATTCAACAACCAGTATTGATGCATCTACCAGTGTCTTTGACTTGCAAGTCAAAGCTGGTACTCTCCCAGTTTACACTGAAAAAGATGTTACATTGAAAAATTGAGCAACATTTGATTGATTTCAAACAATAAACTCAATGTTTCTTCTAAAAGTTAATAAATAAATTTATATTGTATTAAAATTGTTTTTTCATTGCATGATCATTTAGTGACGGAGGTTTGAGCGCATAAAAATTTGCACATTGAACCTGAAAAGGAGATAACCAGAAATCAGGGTAAAAGTTGAAACTCCGATCGCCTTTTGTTAAATTATGAGACCAAAATCATCGAAAGCCTCTCATCAAAATCATAAATCTGATGTAAATTTGATGGTCAACCAAAATAGGCTCTATTTTGTGTGATAAATTTTCTGTTTTCTGTACAACAAATCAGTGCGATCTTCAGTTGCACTGATCGCATTCTGAGACCATAAGAGTTAGAAAGCTGAATCTTATTATTGGTTATTGCTTATAATGTTTGTTTACATCACAGATTGAATACTTTTTTCAATTTATCTACAGTTCTCTCGCTTTTAACATTGCCTTTAAAACTCTGGTCACTCTTATTTTTGTTAAACATGAAACTTCGAGTGACCATCCGAGTAAGTAACAGACACTTTCTGATAGCGATCTGAAACATATTATTCATCGATGTAAATGTTTGATGCTCATCAGCGATCCAACATTTTCTTCAATTTATCTTGTATGTTTCAGTCTCAAGTCCAATGGTTTTTTAGCGTCACTTGATTTCAGTTTGCTTGAGCAAAATCAAAGCATCGGTGCATCAATACTCAATGTACTCACACTAATTGGATTCTTCTAGAGCTGCATTTTATTGTCACATCTTTTCAAATCAATCAAGATCAATCAATGACATTTAATTAACTCATGACTCTTGGATGCAAATAATACGAAAAGAAACACAAATCGAGTTGATTGGATCAAAAATTTGATTAAATCTTTAAAATGCTCTCACCAAGATCTATCGTCACATGAATAATAACTGGAAAGAAGGTTGATTTGACTCTCATCCTCTGAAAAGGAATTTCCGTGTGAATATTGTAAGATAACAGAATTCGGTTCATTTAGTTCTTTGGAACGGGAAAAATTTGAAATTATTGTAAAGCATAAAACACATGATCACTGACACCCTCTTTCCTGAATTTCCATCTTCGTCAATCTATTTCATTTAACAAAGTAACTCTTTCGACTATTTATTAACAGCCAATTACAAGCAGCAATTCATATGTATTTTGTTTCTAGTTCAATTTCAAACATCTAATTACGATGGTTACTTCGTTTGTCCAAAAACTAGTTCTAATTGTAGTTTTCATTGCAATCAGCTGTGAGACTAAAGATAATTGTGACTTTTCTTGTTTAAGTAAAACCTATTCTTACAAGAATGGAGACAAAGATGTTGCCAGTGTTACCTTCACAGCAAAACAAGTCAATGGAGTCAACTATGTGACCATAGATCTCGTTGGATATAATATCAAAGAATCTGAATATCAACAAGTCTCCGTTTTGATTACCAGGGATCCTGATATTAATAAATATTATTGTCAACGGACTATATACGGGGCTACCGCCGCATATTACCAGAGTCCACGTAAGCAAATCACCAATGGTTCATCAATATACCGAGATAACACTTTATACTGTTCTTGGACAATGTCTAGAGCAGATTCAATTTGGCCAACGGATTCATCTGGCAGAGCCATGGACTTGGAATTCAATTATAATTATAACATAATATTAGCCAATCTCTATGGGAGCTTCATGGCTGCTGAAGACATTAAAGATTTACCCATTTATCAGATGAAATTTTTGAATTGCTGCTACAAGGTCCATGGTAATGACAAAGTTCAGTTATTTGTAAGACAAACAGACAATTCAAATGATTTTAACATTTTCATATTGGCGGATAGTCTAGCATCAACTTACAAACTTTCTGTTAATTTAACTGGATCAGATTTAAGTAAACTTGATTTCGAATGTTATTTTTTAAGCAATTGGGTGAATGGTTATTTGCAAATGGATGGTGGTCAAGCAGTTCCAATGCATTCTCAAATTTCTAATAAAAACTTTTTAACAGGAAAGCTTTGCACTTGGTCGACCCCTCTGTCAATCAACGGATCGAGTGGAGCTTATGATACCAGAAATCGTGTTTACGATTTGCAAATAACTGCAGATAATATAAATGTTTATACAGAGAAGGGCATTCCGCTGAACAGTTAGAAATTAACGCAAATTTCAAATATTCAATATATTTTCAGAATTCTTGTTACACCAGACGATTCTTTAGATTGCAAACCAAAGCCCATAATTAGACTAGTTGATAATAATAAAAAATATATCACTCAACAAACACAAATAAAAAATAAACTATTGACATATTATGTTTACCCGAGTTTCATTCATTATCTAGTACAATTTTTATTGAAACTCATTTTTGCCGAGTTTTGAATACATTTCAAATTGTTTCTTTCATTACAATTAGCGGTTAAGCTAAAGATACATGAACATATGAAGAGTGAATCCGAGTTCAAATGATCAACTTTGAATTCGAACGAAAAATTTATTATGTCTTTAATGAAAAAATTTTCATCTCAAAATGAACGTGACAATAATTTAACAAAGCTAGAGATATTTTCAATTCTGATTCTGACGATAGCCATTAATAGTTTGACGCTTTTAACGTATTGTACAAAGTATAAATGATTTTAAGAACAATCATGATCGTAAGTCCGCTTGTTATTTTAAATCATAGATGATTTGAACGAACATGAGATTTATGTTAGTGAATAAGTTGTTGAATACATGAAAATGTATAAACATAATGTTAAGTAATTTTATTATAATGCAGAGCTTCCAGAATAAAGCATTCCATCAATAAATTGAATAATTTTTGAGGACTGACAGGTAAATTTTGTTCGGGTTAGGATCAATAGCTTAAAATTTGAATCGGGTTTATCGGTAATAGCTTATTCTATGATTTGAATCAACAATTCTGAACCATGTCAACTAGTTTAATGTCATGAATTCCACCCGAGTCTAATTTAGGAACCAGATTTTTGACAATATTGTCGTCTAATGTTGTTTTCCTTGAAAGTATCCAAACATCACCTGCAAACCATAAATAAAATTGATATTTTAAATGAAAAATTTTTTAACTAATGTTTAGTGAAACATGAATACTTACGGCAGTTTAGGAGATCAAGAACATCGTTACATGAGACAACTAAGGCATAGTTATTGTAATCAGTATCAACAACCCAATATTGTGTGGTGAGGAAATAGAAAGCGGCTAAATTTAAGAAACAAGGAGTTAAATTTTGAATATTCACCATTTTCTGATCAGAATCTGTTATAAAACTTACTGAGGAAGTATTATTTGGCTGTGAAGACGTTGTCTTGAACATATGACTTGGCGGATTGAACTCTTGAAACTGTATCGTTAAAAATATCAAAGCCAGTGCTGTTAGTAACAAAGGTACCTGTAGTTGTGTCAAACTTATAGTCAGCTTGAAGGCACCGTAGACCATCTTCGAAGTATGGTTTGGTTGACTTTATTACATACCAAGTACCGAGATACTGTTAAAAAAGAAGACAAATATTTTCATTGAGATATGACATGAAAACTGATTGTTTGATTTCAATGAAACAATTCCTACTTGATTAAGGTCAAGTTTTGTGAAAGTCGATTGGGTTTAGGACAATTATCAGGTTGAATACTTGTCTTGACCGATCTGTTGCATTCTTGACATTCAATTGCAAAGACTGAGGCAAATGAAAAGGCAAAGACACAGATAGCGAAAAATTGTTTCATTTTTATTGTTAACGAATCGACTTTGATGTTGCATAAATTCAAAGATGATCTTTAAATCAACAACTAATAACAAATGTCGTTTCTAACTTATATACCGAAATCTGAATTTTTATCAAATTATTTCTTCTATCATTTAACAATATTAAATAAATGGATATTATAATAGATTCTCTCATTGATACAGTGCACGGTAATAATGATTACAAAAAATATTACAACAAAATTCTCAGTAATTTCTTACAATGATTTTTGAAATGGTTTGATTCAATTCACGATTGTAGAATAAAGAAAATTGTTAGCTAATTAAAACGTAATATAACACATTTTTATGCCTAATCTTTCGAATTAAATCGGAGTATAAAACTAGTATCATCCGATTCCTGATTACCATGAAATTCATAATTATCTAATCAATGCTTCCATCAAATTTGACATTTGAAGTCAACAGATAAATTATCTTCAGCATTGATAGTTCCTAGCATTGGTCTTTTCAAAACTGTTATTGATAGATTTCTGAGAATTCCATTGGAATGCAATAAAAGAGTCAATGTTGATATAACAATGCTAAATGATTGACCTTATTCAACCAATTGTTGAGACCAAGTTAGTCAAAGATCTGACCGCAATAGAAATCAATAAAGTCAATAATTAAAATCGGCAAAACTTCAACAATAGCCAATCTCAGTTGGCATAGCAAACCTAAATAGATGTAAAATTTGTTGATTGTGCAAACCAAAAAATAAATTTTACCAGTTTTTTCATTGAAAATTTCATCTAAATTCTGTAAAATTGAAATTAAGTGATTCTTTATCAAGAAACTTTCCCTCCACTCGCGAAAAGCAAGAGCAAAAATTTGTTGCATTCCCGGGTTATAATTATGACCAGGAAAGACCCTAAATTTAGCTAACTTACACAATCGAGAGCTTGATAACGTTTCGGCACTGATTTAGCTCAAATCTTACCAATTTTTTATTGAATTTTTACCAATAATTTATTAGATTAAAAACTTGACAAAAGGTTATTGAGATTTGAACCCAAACGCTCCGAAGCATCAGACCATCCCTTTAACCACTAAGCTAAGCTTTCTTATGATGAAAAAAAATTTAAACTGAATGCCAATAAAAAAATGGTCATTTAGCTAAAATCTTGTCACGAAAATTTACCAAGAATTTTGGTGAACTAACAGCTAGATGCGAGTAAGAAATCAGCGCAAGAAATCAACGAGAGTTTGAAAAAAAATACGCTAACCTGTGGTGAAAATTATGTTACAAATATTTTGATAGAAATTTCTATTAAGTTTTATAGCTATAAGCCTGAAATTTTCAGGAAATAGGGATCAGATTTGCGTCAATACTGGATTTAAATCTGGAATTGATCCGTATTATGGTTCAAAAGTTATCCAACATTTACGATTTTTTGAAATGATCGAAAATGCTCGTAAAATTCAACAAAAATTTCCAATAATTTTTCAAACTTACACTGCGGGGCGTTTTAAAAGCATGAAGTGGAAAAATTATCACAAATTGAAACTTTAAGGGTCAATTAAGTAATTGTGTTAATTCAGGTCGATTTGTCACTCAGAATTCCGAGCAATTAACAAAAGAATGAAAAATAATCTCAAAAAATTCAATGCTAGCTATTTTGAAAGCCTCGTGGCTAATCTCAAATTTAAAATGAACGAGGCGGATTAAAAAGGATTATCTTACATACGAAAGAGCCTCTGATCCCTGGCTATCAATAGAGACCAACTTTGAAAATATTGATCAATTATTAATTAAATAAACAAAGAATGAACAATTTGTAACATAATTTTTCACCACAGGTTATTCTCCCGCTCATTAACAAGTTTTTGGTAATATTCAGTTAAAAGAGTAACCCGGGTTGTTTTTAAAATATTTATGTAAATTTAACTTGCAAATTAAATTCAAATACATTTGTTTTATTGAATCATTTAGATGGCAAATGGATAGCAGTAATTACAGAAAAATGCCGACTACAGAATCTTTATGTATGCTTCATGAGTTGATTGATTTTAGATCAATTATTAATGGAAATCGTATAACATATTTAACTGTATCGCATAATCTCCAAGAATATCTCGCCTTCACCAACCTCTTAACGTAGCTGCTTCAGCAAGAACTTTCAAAAAGTCTGAAGAAAACTTTGCTATATCACCTGATTGAATATCATCGAAGAGAACAAATGGGTCAAGTGATCGTTTTCCAACAGTGACGGCGTTTGGAGATTGAGCTATTCGTTATGAGAATTGAAAATTTCACATTAATTGATCATGTATTTATATTGTGAGTAATGATAATATTTTCATTGAAATGGTTAACATACGTTGCAATTGGCCAAAGAAGGAAATGAGCTTCCAAAGAGCATCGTTAGCATTGTTCTTGGCAACATTGAAGGCATCTGATGACTGACTGGCTTGGGCTATTATAAGAGTACAAATTTGAAGTTAATTTATCATGTTTGAACACATTATTCGGTCAAATTTACAATAATAGTGACTGACTTACGTTTTAATTGTTCAATGAGGGATAAGAGCTTCCAAAGAGCGTCGTCAACGTTGAACTTTGCAAAAGTGAAGGCATTTGACGATTGACTAGATTCTGATAGTCATAAAAGTTTTAAATTTACATTAACTCATCAAGTATGAACACAGTGTCTTTTTGATGAATATGGAAAACTTACTTTTTGATTGTTCGTGGAGGGTTAAGAGCTTCTCAATAGCTGCTTGAGCTTTGTTTTTGGCAACAGTAAACACGTCTGATGATTCACTGGATTGAGCTAGTTATAAGAGTTTAGATTTCAAATTAATCTATCATGTTTAACCACGGTAAACTCTGAATTTTTCATCGAAGGTATGAACAGTAATGTTTTGGACTAATTTTTCAAAATTTAATTGCGACAGTTAGACTAGACTCATAGGCACCATTCAACCGTCAAAATAGAGCTGAACTTTTCAAGAATGTGTTGTGAAAAAATTAATTAATTTCGAGCAAAAATTGTCAAGTTATGGCTCTAAATGGACAAAGGCGTCAAAATCTGATTTACCCTTTCGTCAAAAAACCATATATTTTCAATGGAAAAGAGACTTTTCAAAAAAGGACTAAGATTTCCCACATTACG